GGTCCATAAACGAATGATCAAATTATCTTTTCTTGACCAATAGGATTTAAACATAAATAATTAAATTGTAATAATTCAAATATATGGGCCACATAATGGTTTATATAATTAAATATATATTCTTAAATAATTATTGCGACGTCTCGCATAATTAATATATTTAATTATTCTAACAAGAAGTTCATGAAAAAAACGTGGCAATTTAAGAAAGCATTTAAATCGCATAATTCCAAAAAATACTCTAGATTTCACAAAACCAGCATAGGATTTACTTGCTGACCTAGTAGAATATATTTGTCTAATAGGTCAAGATAACATCACAAGCTGTCAGCTGTAATGTCTTGCTTATAACATTGTGAATATTGTGGAATGAAGGTATACTTTTTTGTTATTTCTACACCTCTTGGAAAAGAGGATATGGAACCTGCTACTGACATTGGTTTTAATAGAAGATAAACTAACGCATAACTTAGAAAGCTGTTTAGAATTAGTAACATCGGCATCCTTATTTATAAGAGTGGGATAGGACTAGCTATAACTAGGTCTTTTAATCCACCTCTACCTAAAATCATTAGCATTATAAAAAATAATCAAAATTATGTTTTGGCTACTTTAAATCTCTTTGGTTCAAATATTTGTACGACAGATGAAGATGTGAGGTTAAAATTGCTAGTATCACTTTTAGAATAGATAGTTGTGTATAAGAGTAGGAGCTCTTATGTAGTTGTGTATAAGAGTAGGAGCTCTTATCCCCACATCGTATACCATTCATTCACATGTTAAGAGCAGTTCATCTTTTTTACTTACATTGGCCTATTTAATACCTGAAATCTATCTTAAACTCAAAAAATAAAAAACTTTGTGAAATGCATTAGAATTATATATATCTATATATATAATTGCATGGCTGTGATTAGAATCCTTAATTGCTTTGCTTATATGATTACTATAGGCTATGTTTCCTTCTTTCATCCTTTCCAGCTTTGCAGCCTTTCTATTCGGTTAATCGATAAAAGCATGGAATAATTCTGAAACGAGTATTTGCTAATGATAATAGTGATGATAAAATAACATTTCGCTTTTTTTTTTTATTTGCTTTTTATCCAGTTACAAAGATTACTGTTCTAAGTTTGTTCGATTTTTGCAGGCTATTATCGAGAGAATGGGTGAACTAGAAAAGCAAGAGTAGTAATGTTTGGGATCAATAGCTGCTTGTCTAAATTCTTTCTGTTAAGTTTGTCAAGTTTGATATCATAAGACAGCAATAGTAAATCATTTGCTCGACTATGAGATTGTTAAAATTAAACTTTTGTGCTTATATAAATATTCTGTTTTTTATAATGTAAAAGAACTTGAAACAATTAGGATTTGATCGATTCGCTCCTGCAAACCCAGTTTAGAAGTATTCTGTATTTGTCTGAAATAGGGCTCAATATATATGAATCACATTGTTCTCTCTTGCATTTATCTTTGTTAAGGATGCTTATTTATCTTGCCTTGATGTTGCTCCTTACAAGAACTTGGACTTTGCTATTGCATGTAGGGTTTCGGTTCACAATGGATTCATTTGACACAACCCATTGAGTCTCACTATTGAACATAATGACTTTATGTTTGATTGTCCTTTCTAGTGATGTTATTACTACTAATACTTTTATAAGAGGTTTTTTTTCTTTATTTCTATGGATGCTTCATAGGGTGATGGTCTAGCATGCTTATGAAGCTAATTTTAAGATTTCATCACTTTGTTTGAAAATATTTTTTTGCTGCTTTTTAAAGCAATTTTTTAATATAAAAATTATAATTTTTTATAAAAAAAGGCTTCATTTGAGTCAACTTTTTAACTGTTTCTTAAAGCAATTTTTAGCACAAAAAGCTTAATTTTTGTATTAAAAAGATGCTCTAAGAAGCAATAAAAAAAATCATTTCAAATAAAACTTAAAAAACAGAAAAAATAGTCTCAAACAAAATCTTAATTCTAAAAGTTTTCATTCCCATGCCTCACAAATTTTTCAAAAGAAAATCTTTGAAAATAATTATCTTCTAAATGTTGCCTTCACATCTTTACATTGATTAATTCATGCTTAAAAGAAGCACAAGCCAAAGAAACAATATATGAATAACTATAAGAACAAAATAACTTTAACAGCCTCAACTGCTTCACAGTCAAATAACTAGAAGAACAAATTTCCAAAAAAGAAAAAACTAGAAAAACAATCATTAAAGCTGCCATAACAACAAGCATATAATGAGCCAATATCTGTGGTGAAATAACTTAACTAAATCCTATTGATATGAACAGCCATTAAAATGTCTTTCTGAGTCTCCAACAGCTCGAAAAGGCAGATGTCCCCTATCTTCAAATGGTTTCCACGAACAAAATTCTTCCAGCCTGAAGTAAACCCTACTGAACGAGCCTGAACAAGGCAATGCACTTGCCAAAGCCTCTGCTCGTCAGGAACTCGAAGAAAAACTCTATTGCTAGTTCGAGGAAGATGCTTCATTGCAAAGGCAATGGGAATGGTCTACAGAGAGAATGAGAAGAACAATTATTTATCAAATTGATAGAATGTTTATAAGAATCTTACCATGGTTCATGGATAATAACCTCCAAGAACATAATTTTAAGGCTTATTTAACAGCAATTTCCTATTAAATTAGTTGTAGAATTATTGATGAAAAAATTGAATTTTTCAAAAAAAATGTAGGTAATATAGTTTTTTTTTTCTTAAAAGAAAAGAAGGATAATAACTTTCTTATATCTATTGCACCCTAACAAATCTAGTTATGAAAAGCTATTCACCACAAAAAAATTTTGAAAAATATGGAAAAATCAGCAAAATAGAATTGTGACAGCAACCTGTAAAGCTGTAAAAAAAGCTGTTATTTTAAGACATCTAAAGTACATCAATATATTTGAAGGCACATAATTCATTAACCTTGTCATGTATTGGCATATCAACAATAACTATTGGCAGGATATCCACAATATCGTGTGATGATAGAAGGAGAATCTATGTATTTGATAGCAAACACTTGATGATCTCAAGTGAAAACCTATCAATTTTGGAAAAACAACGAGAAATATCTACAAAACTCCGAGGAAAAATTTAAAAAACAACAATTTTTTGTAATAATCAGAAATAACGGAAGGAAAATACCAAGATACAGTTGATCCTCAATTCAAGAGGAGGATCTATCTATCCCAATCCTTAGACACTACTAGAGCCCAAGAACGCCAAGCATCAAGATAAAATCAGCCACAAACATCAAAATCCCCTAACCCTAATTTTCTCATCCTACTTAAAGCATACAATTACAGCCCTAGCCACCCCTCTCCTTCCTAATGGGATTCCCTAGTGGGCCCCACAATTCCTAGGGTGCAAAGACCTGCTTGGTCTGCCTCATGTAAACCTGAGCAAGCCCTTTGCCTAAGGCCGACTGGATCGGTCCAGCATGGACCGGTCTAACAATACCCTCATTCCAAAGAATCACATTGTCCTCAATATGAAAGAAGGGGAATTGATGCTTACCCTCTCATAGAGCTCCCATGTGGCATCATCGTCCGGCAGGCTATTCCATTTGATCAGAACTTCCTTAGTTCTCTCGTCTCCCCGACGCACCACCATCAACTCTAATGATTCTAATACCACCTCCAAGTCCTCTATCAATGTCACTAGTAATTCAGAACTCACTGCATGATCCCTAATTGCCCTCCTCAGTTGAGATACATGGAACAAATGATATATAGTCGATGTCGATGGTAATTTCAATTGATATGCCACCGCTCCAATCCTCTCTAATACCTCATATGGCCCAAAGTACATTGGGGCAAGCTTTTCATTCCTCATGTTGGCGACTATCTTCTGCTTGTAAGGCCCAACTTTAAGAACACCCTCTCCCCTACCTCAAATTGGATGTCTTTTCTATGTCCATCTACATGTTTCTTCATAATCCACTGAGCCCTCAACAGATGCCTCTTCACTTCTTCCAATACCCTGAAATAAGCATACTTGCTCAGTCTATCTACTACCACTAAAATCACTGTGAACCCCTCTAATCAAAGTAATACATCTACAAAATTCATGAATACCTCCTCCCACACCCGACCTAGTAGAGATAAGGGCTGCGGAAATTCTCCTAGAGATATGGCCATGTACATGTTTCTCTGATAGATCTCACATCTGGCTACCAACTCCTCCACATCCTTGTACATCCACTTCCAATATAACTCTGAGGTGAGTCTCCTGTATGTCTTTTGCACCCCTGAATGACCCCCCCATGGAACTCCTGGAGTAGGTGTGGAATATAGACTAATGCCGTAGGCATCAGAAATCTCCCCTGATATATAAGCCTCTCCCCTTCTAAAGAATAGCCCTGATGGCTACTCACATCCTTCAATAAATTTGCCCTAATCCTCCCTAACTCCTCATCCCGTGCACTCTCCTCCTTAGGGGTCCCCCAATCCAGCATCAGTGGTATAGACACTACTATCGTTTGTAACTCCTCCATACATCTGGACAAGGTATCCGCTGCCTTGTTCTCTATCCTCAGTCTATAATGAATTTCAAAGTCATATCCCAATAACTTTGACAGACATCTTTGGTGCTGCTCTGTCACCATCCTCTGCTCCAACAAATACTTCTAGCTCCAATAATCTGTCATAACAATGAAATGCCAACCCAACAAGTAGGGGTCGCCAATTTCGGATGGCCAACACAATGGCCATCAATTCCCTCTTATAGACTGACTTCAGCCTGGCTCTAGCTGTCAACATTTAGCTGAAGTAGGCGATGGCTCTGCATGAGTGTTGCTCCCAATTCATACCCGGAGGCATCTGTCTCCATTATGAAGACCCGAGTGAAATCTAGTATGGCCAAGATTGTCACAGTGGTCATGGCCTTCAATCTCTCAAAAGCTGTCGTGGCCACCTCCCCCCACAAGAAACCATCCTTCTTCAACTATTTTGTCAATGGCCATGCGATGGTGTTATAGCCCTTCACGAACCTTTTATAGTAACCAGTCAACCCTTGAAATCCCCTCAGCTCCTCAAGATTCTTGGGCAGTGGTCATCTCAACATAGCCTCAATTTTGGCCTGATCCGTGGCTACACCCTCTTGAGAGACTAAATGTCGCAAGTACTTCATATTGGCCTAGGAAAAATAATGTTTCTTCAGATTGGCCCCAATTGATGCTCTTGTAATACCTCTAAAACATTCCTCAAGTGCTCCCAATGGTCCCCATCTGACCTGCTATAAATCAGAATATTATCAAAAAATACCAACACAAATCGCTTGAGATAGGGTCAGAAAACCTTGTTCATAAGGGATTGGAAAATGGATGGGGCATTAGTGAGGCCAAAAGGCATCAAAAAGAACTCATAATGCCCCTTATGAGTTTTGAAAGCAGTCTTCGGCACATCCTCCCTTTTCATTCTAATTTGATGGTACCCTGACTTTAGATCTATCTTGGTAAAGATAACTGCCCCAGTTAGCTCATCCAATAACTCATCTATCACTGGGATAGGAAACTTGTCTGGCACAATTTCTTTATTCACAGTCCTGTAGTCCATGCAGAAACTCCAACTTTCATTCTTTTTCTTAACTAGTAACACGGTTAGAAACACACTGGGCCTGATAATTTATGCTTCTCTCTCTGATCAACTTATTAATTTCATCCTTCTAAAATTGAGGTTAGCGGTAGATCTTGACACCGCTCAAGGTGATAGCGTGCTCCTGCTCCCTTGGATGTGGCTGAAAAACCTCACTGAACTGTTGAATCAATTGTTGTACTTAAAGAGAGATGTCCTCACCCTCCTCCAATATGATCATGTACAACCTCTATAGCTCCACCAGATAATCTTCCCCCACCTTCTGTATGCTCCTTACCATGATTTTAAGTGATATAATGGATTTGGAGAGCCCTGCATCTCCCCTGATCACTACCCTTCTCCCTTCCACCACTAGCTCCATAGTCAATGCTCTCCAATTGACCTTGGTGTTCCCCAAGGTCTGCACCCACTTCATCCCCAGGATGACATCAATACTCCTTAACTCAAATGGGAGAAAATCCTCCCTCACTTGGACCTCCTGTATGATCAACACTACTCCCCGATAAATCCCCTGGCCCGTCTCCACCTTCCATGTACCCATCATCACTTCATAACACCATGTATCCACCAATGTCACCCCCAATTGGTCCACGACCTGATTGGAGATGAAATTGTGGGTAGCCCTATTGTCAATCAACATCACCACCTCCTTGTCTGCTATTTCCCCCTTCACCTTCATGGAGACCTCTGTCACGTCAAGATGCATCTTCTCCTCCTCTCCCCTTGTCTCACTCTCACTTCCAATCTCAGTTTCCTCATCATCACAAACAGTAAAAGCCTGAAGAGTTTGGTCCTGGCACCTGTGCTTTGGAGTATACTTCTCATCACATCTGAAGCATAATCCCTTCGCCCTCTTCTCCTATGTCTCCCTCTCAGTCAGTCTTTTAAAGTCTCACGAATGCTGTCTGATGCAGGCCCCTTGGGTGCTAAAAGAGTGGTAGTCTTCTTGTAAAAGCCACTTGAACTACTACCTCTAGCTCCCCTCTCCTGGTACTACTGATCCTCCACCAGTTGTGCCAACCTTATAGCCTCTCCCAAGTCACGGGGCCTTATGGCCCTCAGTATTACCAGGATATCTGATTTGAGTCCCTTCATGAAATTTTCCTCCATAATAGTCTCCGTAAGTCGACCCAATCAACTCGTCATGTACTCAAATCTCTCACGGTAATCTGTCACTAAGCCTTCCTGCACAAGTATAAAGAACCGCTCATAGAATTCTCTTCCCCTGTCAATTCGAAAACATTCCAATAAGCATTCCTCGAACTCCATCGAACTCCGTATGGGCCTCCTCATGTCTCTCCACTTGTATCAAGCAAACGCCTTTCCTTCCAAACATAAGTCAGCTGTTGTTAATTTCTCTTTCTTCATCAACCCATTCATGGAGAAATATCTCTCTACCTTGTAAATCCACCCATATGCATACTCCTCTTCAAAAATCGACATCTTCAGCTTTCGGACATTTGGATCTCCAACATTTCCCCTAATTCCTCCATAATTTCCCCTTCCCCAAGTGTTTGGTCCTCACCAAGTGTTCCAATCCTCCCTTTCACGCTCATACCCATGCCCATCTTCACTTTCTTCCCTCCCTTCAAAATCAGCACCCCTCCTACCATAATCCCCCTCTTTTCTTTCTCAATCAGCACCCCTTGGTTCATGCCCCCAATAACCACGCCTCTCTCCATACATTCCACCTCTTTCCTCTATGATTTTCACCTCGTTTTCACTCCTACAAATTTCAGAATTCGTATTTCTCCCTGCTGGACCTCTTGCCTCTAATGTCGCTGTTTGATTTTGAATGTCCAGTATCTTCTTCACCATCTCATGAAGATCTAAAACTTTACCTTCCATGAAGGATGTTCTATCCTTCACCGTTGCTTTCATTTGGATCATCTTCCTATTAAGGCGTTCTTCCAACGCATCCATTTTTTTGGCTGCCATTGATACCCAGATTTTTGTTGGACTCAAAAATCTGGATCTCGACCCCAAAAGTAGCAAAACCGCCCCTCGGACAAAATTCAACTGTCGGAATTCACACAAACAGCCCAAAAATAGTTTTAAAAACTGCTCTGATACCAATTTGATAGAAAAACACTTGAGGATCTCTACTGCAAAACCTATCAATCTTGGAAGAACAACAGGAAATATACACAAAAATCTGAGGAAAAACTAGAAAAAACAATAATTTATTGCAATAATCAGAGATAACGGAATGAAAATACCAAGATACAATTGATTCTCAATTCGAGAGGAGGATCTATCTTTCCCAATCCCTAGACGCCACTAGAGCCCAAGAACGTCGAGCACCAAGACACAAAATCAGCCACAAACATCAAGATCCCCTAACCCTAATTTTCCCTTCCTACTCAAAACATACAATTAAACAACACAAGCCAAATCCCTCTACAAGCTTAGCCGCCCCCCCTCCTTCCTAATGGGATTCCCTAGTGGGCCTTACAATTGCCTTGGGTGGCAATTCCTAGGGTGCAGACCTACTTGGTCCGCCTCAAAGGGCCAGCTGGCCAGTCCAACATGGACCGGTCTAACAATATTCTTTGCCATTCTTCAGCGTATTTGACATTTAACCATAACATAGTACAAAATTAATCTCACATTGCACAACATGGACTAGTCTATGGTCAGTATTGGCAGTAGAAAAACAATAGTTCTTTCATGTAAATATCGTTCAGAACTTCAGAGTCATAAAGAAATATTTATTGATGACAAATGTTCTTAAGAAATTTGAAAAGAATCAGTTTTTGAACTTACCATATAAAATCTTTTGACAATGCTGCAAGGCACCATGATTGATACAAACGAAGGCTTGTCTGTTTGAATTGATTTAGCAAAGCTAAGCAATTTTTTCTTTTCTGCGTCACTAACTCTTGCCTTTCTTGAAACGAAGTACATGTTTGCACTACAAAGCTCATCCAAAGAGACTTCATTGGCGGGGTTTTCTATGGCTTTTATGATACATCTTTCATCTTCTGAATAATCAAAACATGAAGTTAATAAAGTAAATTCAAAAGTTTATTTTAATTTCAAATTGGTTGGAAAAATAGAAAAGTGAATAACTAAAAGGCTGTTAGATTTGCTACATTATTTGTGTAAAGTAAACTAGAAGCATATATTTTGAAGATTATGCTATTTGGTAGGCGGCATTTTGAATGCAATGAAATTTATTGATGAATTTAACATTCACCATCTAGCTAATTTTTTTGTTGTATTCCAAAATCAACTGATTTGACTTATTTTCAAATACATTATAAATACTCTGTAACTCACTACCATAAGTCATCACCGTCGTAACAACTAGTTACTGCCATCAAACACTGTCCACCACCACTGTTAGTCACTCCGCTTCAACCTCCATTGTCGGCCGCAATCCACCAGTTCAAACCGCCATAGCCAGCCACCATCACCAATCTTTGCACTTAATTCATTTTACATCAAATCAAACATAAAAAAATAATCTCTTGTACTTATTCTGCACACAAACAAAGTATAAAACATTTTAAATACACTACATTTCTTTTACTTTACATTCTTTTTTCACAGCAAATCAAATAACCCCAATAATATGATGGTACATACTAAAATACTAGGCTCAATCTAGATGCTGAAAAGAGGGAAAAATAAAAAAAAACACAAAAAAAATTATGGTAATTAATTATTCTCACATTCCCATTAATTTCATTTGTTAAACTTTCATAGAAAAATGCAATAAGTTTGCTAAGAATCAAAGCATGAGAGGGAAAGACAGTACTAAAGAATCCAAATATCAAAGGAAGCAAACATTAGAAGCAATTAGCTGATGAGCACTCAAATGTAAAAGCAGCAAAAATCCTGCAGAATGCGAACTATGACAATCATTGATATAAAGTATTAGAAAGTGAAAAGATGCATATTTGTTGGAAAATAATGCCATTTCTATGTTATATCCTATGCCATATTTTTAAAGGAAAGCTACCTCTTGCAGCTTTCTTTTTTCTGGAAGCAATTAAGGGGTTCTTAGGCCTATAAATTCTTCTGGAATTCTTCCTCACCCTGACTTGATTCTTCTCCGCACTTCTATTTGCTCTCGAGTTCCTGTGTTGTGAAGTTATAGGCTGTTCTTGCTCGGTATGTCCATAAGAACTTACACTGGAATCATTTCTGGCCCTTTTGACAGAAGGTATTGCACATAAATTATCCATAGGATCCCCTTTCTTTAGACGATGAGAAGCAGGTTTCTCACAACCACTTTGTTCAAACATCAAGACAAGAAAGGAAGAGCAGCCATCATATTTGAACACCAATGTGTCGTTTTCTTGAATACCATAAGCTTCAACAAAATACTTCCAACCGCAATCAAGAACAACTCCGTCATTCGTCTTCTTTAATTCAACATGCCATATATCACCACTTGGGGCCTTCAGCTCAACAGTTTCAAGTAGCTCACCATTAAAGTTCTCAATAAACTTCTTTGGTATGACCTGTAAAAACGTAAGAGCATGATAAAGCACAAAGAAAATGTGGACACATCATCTATCTAATAATCAGTTCATATATTACTTTTTAAGTTTCTACAACACATCCATTTAACATTCTCATTTATTGCTCACTAACTGAATTGTAAATAAATTGAGAAAAGGACAAAAATAATCTCTTGACTCTTTCTAAAAAATTAAAATGATCCACAACTATATTAAAGGATCATTTTGATCTCTCCATTCCCTTGACTTTTTAAAAGACTATTTTGATTCTTTTTTAAGGAATTGAGAGACTAAAATAATCCTTTAATCTAATTGGAGATTATTTTAATCATTCATAAAGAGTTAATGAATCATTTTGATTCTTTTACCTAAATAAATTTATTGTAGCCTAACAATTAAATCCCTATATCATACAAATCTAACAACAATTTAAGAAAACCCACTTGTAAGTGCTTGAGATATACCTTTTTGAAGCATAATTTCTAAGTAACTTTTTTTATTTTAACAACCTTGCCAATCATTTCTTCTGTTGTTCTAAATTTTAATTGCTTTAAAAGCTGTCACATTTAAAAGAATTATGTTATTTGCAAATAGCATACATGAATGTGACTCACTTTGAATATGTTTCATAAAAATCTCCATAGCTTTTAAGCTAAAAATAAATATGATGTTGATCCATTATGTTTCCTAATACATTTTTTTAATCACTACATAACTACATCAAAGTGACTTTAGTGACCTTAACATCCTAAATGAAAATAAAAATTTTTGTTTTTATCGGCATATTAGTAAAACCAAAGCTAAAGAAACTTTAAAGAAAATGAAGTGTGAAGAAGCTGTTGGACCTGATGATATTCCAATAGAGGTGTCAAAATGCTTAGGAGATGAAGGAATTTCTAGGCTTACTAACTTTTTAATATTATTTTGAAGACTAAAAAGATGCCAAATGAGTAGAGAATAAGTGTGTTGATTCTTATTTTTAAAAATAAAAGTGATACAGAAGATTGTGCGAATTATAGAGGAATTATGGAGCATAGATTACGGTGTGATACTAATGTTTCTCAAAATCAAATTGGATTCATGCCGGGTAAGTCTACTATGGAAGCTATACATTTATTGAGGTTTAATGGAGAAGTATAGAGAAAATAAAGAGGATCTACATATGATATTCATTGATTTAGAGAAAACATATGATAAAGTTCAAAAGAGAAGTGCTATGGAGAGTTCTAGAAAAGAAAGGGGTTAATAATGCTTATATTTAAGTCATTAAGGATATTTATGCAAGAGTTGTTACTTGTGTTCAGACACAAGATGGTTTGATCAAATATTTTCCTATTTCAGTTGGATTACATCAAGGAACAACCTTAAGCCCACAAGAAATTTGCAAGAGGTTGTACCTTGCTGTATGCTTTTTGTTGATGATATTCTTCTTGTTGATAAGACAAGAGAGGGAGTTGAAGGTAAACTTGAATTATGGAGGTCAATCTTAGAGTGTAAAGGCTTTCATTTGAGTAGATCTAAAACTGAATATATAGAGTATAATTTTAGTAATAACAGTTCTTTAGCGCGAGGGGAAGGGGGGGGGGGGGGATGGATTATGACTCGAATGATCAAGTCATTAATAAGAGTACACGTTTTAGATGTCTAGGGTCTATTATCAGAGTGATGGTGAAATAGATGGGGATATTATTAGTAGAATTCAAATTAGATTATTGAAATAGAGGAATGCATCGGGCTTGTTGTGTGAAAAGTTCCCCTCAAACTTAAGGGAAAATTCTATAAGATGGTGGTAAGACTTGCAATGCTTTATGATCCATAATGTTGGCCATTAAAAGAGAAGCATAATAATAAGTTAAGTGTTGCAGAGATGAGAATGCTCAGGTGGATAAGTGGCTTTACTCTTAGAGATATGATACGAAATGAGCATATACATGAAGAAGTGGGAGTAGCTCCATTAGAGGATAAGATTAGAGAGAGTCGCCTTAGATGATTTTGTCACATAAAATGGCAGCCTCCCGATGACCTGGTTAGGAATGTAGATGTATTTATGTTAAGGCATATGTAGACCTAAAAAGACTTGGTTAGAAAATATTAGAAATAACCTTTTTTTATTAGATTTAAATGAGAATTTAACTTTTAACAAGGCACAATGGAGAAAAAGGATTCATGTAGCTGACCCTACATAGTGGGATAAAGACTTGATGTTGTTGTTGTACTACATAACTATGCCAAATATTTTTCATTATTGAAGCATACATTTCTTTAATTGCTTCTTTTGGCACATGTTTTTCTTCTTAATTAAAACTAAATCAATTCTCATAATACACAAAAATATTCCTTTCAAATCAATGGATGGAATTACATATCCATATGTTTATATTTAGAAATTCAATTAATTTCTATAGCATAAAATTAGGAAGCACCGACACTTCAAAACACATCTTGTGTTGTGCTCATGTCGGACACATGTCGAATACAGACATGGCTCAGACACACCCTAACACCTATCCGATACTTCAAAATTTATGTCCCGAGAATTGGTCTACGACATAAGCTAGACATGTTCTGGACATGACTAGGACATGCGGGATACAAGAGTTAATATGCAGAAGGAGAATTGTTGAGCTCAAAATAAAATCTAATTTGCGTATACATATATTAGCTTGTTTGTATATACGTAGCCCTAGCTTTATGGGTCTTCCATTATCTCCTCTTCATCAAAGCCACTTGCCATCTTCGTCTCCACTCTTCATCAAAGCTGCTCGCCATCTCGCCTCTCATCTTCATCGAAGCCGCCTCATGTCATCTTGGTCTCATTATCTTGCCTTACATCACCTCACTACAAGAAAGCGAGCTTTTTGCGGCGGATTTGCGAAGGACTTTGCAGCAGATTTTTTTTCTTCCAAAAATGGTGTCAGATTTGTGACAAAAAATTTTGATGATTTTTTTTACGGTAGAATATCATCCGCATATTTGCGACAGCAAATCTGACGCAATTGCCCTATCTAACTGGCTGAGTAAGCATCAGTTTCATTTGTTATGATTCTCAGCCTCGTTCGATTTTGACTCTCACCATTCTTCTCTTGCATCTGAATTCACACCTCCTTCGCGCTCACAGGAGCTTGGTCGTTGCGAAGGTATCCATCTATCTTCCTTATCGTGCTTCTTTGTCCAAATCAGTGAACCGACCGAACTCTCTCCCTGCAAATCCGTGAGTAGAACGAACTCCCTCCTTGCCACCCAACCCATATTGCCAAGGTATGCTTTTTGTTGATGATATTCTTCTTGTTGACAAGATTAGAAAGGGAGTTGAAGATAAATTTGAATTATAGATGTCAACCTTAGAGTCTAAAGGTTAGTATTGTAAGTTTGGGCAATCAAGTCATTAATAAGAGTACACATTTTACATATCTTGGGTCTATTGTTCATATTGATGGTGAAATAGATGTAGATACTATTAGCAGAATTCAAGTTGCATAATTAAAGTGGAGGAATGCATTGGGCTTGATGTATGATAGAAAAGTCCCCCTCAAACTTTTAGGGAAAATTCTATAAGACATGGTGAGACCTGCAATGCTTTTATGGTGCATAATGTTGGCCATTAAAAGAGAAGCATAATATTAAGTAGCTTTACTCTTAGAGACTGCAGCTGGACCTTCCACGCAGACTGCCGCAGCACCTCAGCCCAAGGGTGATACATATGTAATGATGTATGTTTTATATTACGTATATATTTGAGAAATAATATTTTCAAACTAAATATTTTATGTATGTTTTACCCGTCAAAGCAGCCCACGCATAAGATACGGGATATCATACAGAGCAGGTTTGATGCTCCATATGTTTCTTGAAAGAAAATCCCAAAGAAAATGCACGACATGTAGTTTAGGGAGTTTGAGGTTAGTATGTTGCAATATTGTTAACATTTGTCCATATTTTATTAAGTTAATAAATAATATTTTTTGTTCCAATTTATTATATACAGTGAGATTTCTATTGATTGCCTGAACATTGTACTCGTATCAAAATAAATTTTGAAAAACACGGACCAACTCGCCTACGAGACATGTTCACACGCATTAGAAGGACAGACAAGCGACCGCTTTGAATTGGAGAGGGTGTATGGACCGAGCTCAATAGTGCTTAAGGCCACCCAAATCATACAACGAAGAGGGAGCATAGCAGAAAAAATCAAGCTTCTGACATCGGGGCCCTGAGTAGCTCCCTTCATACTAAGGGCTCAATTCCACATACTGAGCACAGACGACGATTGATAAGAATTTTAACATATTTTAATAATTTCTTTGGCTATGCATGCTAATATAAGTATATTAAAGAAGGGGATGGTTAGTAGAGAACCAACTGCAATTGAGTTGCACAGTCACGCTTACAAGCGCTAGGAGGACCATCAATAGGTGGATGAGCGAGTGAGGAGAGCATATGTAGGTATATAAGGTTACAATACTTTGAGAAATATTGTAAGTGACGATTATACGATGATTAATCTTATGTTGTGTTTTGTAAGATAAGTATACACGGCTTCGAGAGAGCTAGACTGTAGCTGGAGAGGGATCCTCTAGGGGTTCCGCAGATATTTCTAACTACCACACTTGGTCGCAGACGATAGATGGAATGCAGAAGGGATGAGTTTATGGATTAGGCTCGCAGACCTATGCGTATGAGGGACAATCCTCTTCTGCCTCCAGCTACTCTACAAACAATCAGGAGAGTTTGTATAGCCAACATGTGACTAACTTGACGGCAAAGCTAGAAAATGTCTGAAAATCACAAGCGGGCATCAACATTCAGATATTAGATGAGATTTAGAGTTTGAGAGAACAGATTGGTGGAAATCACCCTGCTCCTGCATCGACCGAGCAGGAGAGTGAGGATACAAATTCCATTTAGATTGTCTGAGTAGGGCTTCATGATGCATTTTACTTTTTTTTATGTATAAGAACTATGTTTACGTTAACAGCATTGTAATAATTATAGAACTG